AAAAGAAAAAAGACAAAATTATTTTCTGATAGGCTGAAGCAGAACCGGACCGGTTTGACCGATTTCTGTAGCCCTGGAGGAAACTGCCACCTGTTAGTTTCTCACCGCCGGCTACCGGGACTGCTTGAAAGAAAAAAAAAAGGCAGACGGCGGAAAGATTCCCGTCTTCCCAATTTAAAACAGGAGGATGGTAACAGTTTCAGAACCTGAGGAACTCAAAACCAAGATTTTTAGTATTTACACGGCTGAGTAAGCATCTTCCATTTCTGTTAACTAATCTGATATTTTTCTTGAAATTTTGTTTATGTAATGCTCTGTTTGGTTGCCTAGAAAACATGGGAAAAGTGACAGAAACGGAAGCTTTCTGATATTGAGTTGTTTAAGCATGAAATGAGAAAAGGTACTGTGTATTTTGAGTCTTGCTCTTGAATTAGTAGATTGTTACAGCTCTTGGTTGTCTGAGTAACCAGATCAGCAGGAGGGTTTTACATTCAGAGATGAATTTTCTTTTCGTTTTTTGGATTTCCTCTGTTCTCAATGCCGGTTTTGTGCGTTAACATGTTTATATTTTAGTTGGTTGATTTTGGTTAATATTTGAAGTAGCTATGTGAAAATTTATGCGTGTCTTGAATCTTTTGGAATGTGGGATCTTAATCAAACTCTGATATGAATTGCTTGAAAAATTAGGTTTCATTTTTGTGCATTGGGGGAATGGGTGTTGATGAGGGGACTAGCAAGGGTGGAGGTGTGGAGTGTTGTGAGCAAGGATCACACTCCAAAAGGGGGGCAGTGAATGACATTATACATGATTTTGGTGATGGGAGCTCTGGAGGCGGTGAGGGTTTTCTTGCTTATAAGAGGTGGAGGCAACTGAGGTCTAATGCAGGGAGCAAAGTTCAAGAGGATGGGAGAGCTTCTGTGGCTGCTACTTCTTGTTCAACAAAGCAGGTCTTTCTCAATCTTTGCATTTAAACACGAAAGATGCTGATTTGGATTGCTTTCTTTCTAATGGTAGTCAGTGGTGAGATAGGTTGCTGTACATTTCTCTATTTGTTCTTTTTCTAGAAATCATTCTGGTTTCAAGCTTCAAGGTTTAAGCTTTAGTAACACATGTAATGGTGACTGGAAATACACTTTTTTTTTTTCTTGAAATATGAGTTGGAAAGCTAAACTTGTAGACCATTGCTATCAGAAGAAGTTCTGATTGATAAGTTCCATTTGATAAGGATCTAGCAGTAAAAGAAGGATGCCATGCAAAGGCAAGGATGACATTTGTCAATTAGTGGATCAGAACATTATGTCTTGAACTAACTGGTTTTTGAATCATGTTTGTATTTTATCTAAAGTCTATAAGAAAAGGGTAACTAATTTTTAATGTTTTGTCCAGTTGAACGGCTGGTGTTGGTACTTCTCTCTTCTTCCCATGAAAGTGGCATTATTTGCTGATGAGTTTCTGATCTTTGTTCCCATTTCCCTACTACATTTGGTTTCTTGTAGCACACAGGATTATTGGACAAGCTTATACACAATTAATCATGCAAACATGTCCATCTTTCAGGGACAGAACCTCGTGATTCACTGAATGGTTCAAATGATCGTCTACAGAAACAACAGAGAAATGTTGTATTAGAGCACCTATGTCAGTCCCCAAGTGTTGAGATGCACTTGCATTTCATCCAGAAATCTGTTTTACCAACATGGTTATGGCTTGTTCTATTTCTATTACCGAACCTATATTCAGTATGTGAGCTCTTGCAGCCATCATGACATTGTTTCCTCGTAGGCAGTGATTTTTTCTGGTTCTTCTACAGGAATCCAACACCTGCTGGTTTAATGACTTTTTGGTGTAGATGTAGTATGTCAACAGTCATGCTAGATGGACCGAATGCTAAGACCTGGTGGACATGTTTATATACGGGATTCAGTATCAGCTATGGGCGAACTTCAAGAATTAGCAGCTGGAAAATATTGGTTTCTGAGAAACGTATGTAATGAGCTAGTCGGGTAAAATGCAAGTCATATCATGGATATACCTAAAATCTCAGCAAGAAAGTTGCCCCACTGATTCCTACTGTTCAAATGTAATCCACCTTCATATAGCTGTCAGGCACGCTAAGTTGCTAACAGGAATTCCTTGCATTTGTCATTCAAATGTAATCTTCCGTTCCCATCTTGTCCTTATTGCAACATGTATATTAACAAGCAGATGCTTGTAGTACAATTAACTTAAATTCTTTTGTTCCAATCTTCCTTTTCTCCATTATTTCAAATTGTAGACTTTAGTCCCTTGTTTAAGGATTAAATTTTCATGACATTAGTTGATCATCAAACTTTCACAACATTTAGTCGCTGAAAACCGAAAAACTTTTATCTGCTTTCTAACTGCACAGTGCACATAGAGATCACTGAAAACAAAAGCAAGGAAAAAATTTGTTCTGACTGCAAGAAATGTCACACTCATAAGATTTTGCTATCAGCTACCAATAGTATAGATATTTAACACCATCTTAAATCCCATACAAACTTGTTTTCTCAAGAGATATCACGCTCATAAGATTTTGCCACCAGCTACCAACAGTATAGATATTTAACACAATCTTAAATCCCATACAAACTATTGTTATCTTAAGAAATACCACGCTCATAAGATTTTGCTACCAGCTACCAACAGTAAAGATATTTAACAGCATCTTAAATCCCATACAAACTTGTTTTCACTAAAAATCGAAGCTGGAGGTTAGTAGATTGAACAAAATGAGATGAAAAAGACGCTCCAAAACACCGACTCTGCATACTACAAATGAAGAACTCTTGACATATCAAATGAAGAATGATCCCTGACTCACTCACCGCCACCCTCACCCTCAGCGGCACAAGTATCACCACCATAAAACATGGAAACTGGATTTGATTGTGGCTTCATGGAAGAATCCTTATGGACAGCGGTATTAACCTGTTTGGCGAGGTAAGCTTCATAAATTTCAACTACAAGTCTAGGATCCCTTTCCACGAGTTCCACATACTCTTCCCGTTTGGTAAGCTTGTCCATGTTGTCTGTTATCAGAGACAAAGCTGCATCACCCACAAGCTTTGCATTCTGCTGGTGAGCAAAGGCATAGCTCATGACTGAATTGTCCCAGTTCAATTTAGACACTAAGAACTTCTCACAGTAGGCCTTGAGATGCTTCACCTGATACTTTTCTGCGAAAACTACAAGGTCATACGCCATTTGCTCATCAAGTGTTGCTTCAGCAGTATACAAGTAGTTGATAAAGGCAAGGAGGACCTCATACGATACATCACTGATCTTGATGGTGCTGCTTCGTGACTCTTCCATCTCATTCTCAAGCATCGCTTTGAACACGGGGGAACGACTCACCTGTTCCACATGAAGATCTCATGAAAAATTCTCTAAAGAAACAAATACCATTACCCATCAACAGATTTTCCAATCCAGGTATAAACTGCAACTGGTATGATCTGAACGCAATTGCAAATTAATTAGACATGTGTAACGTAACCACTGCTTCAGAATTTAAGTTTTGACTTCCCTTGAATATAGCAGATTATATAAAAATTAAAATTAAGGATGAAAGAATTTGAGGGCAGATCACAAACAGCAAAGCAACCAAATATGAATTGCTCAAAGAAAAAAAAAAATATAATAATTAGGCAAATTAACTGATTGATCTAAACTCAAACGAAGACAAATAACAGGTAACAGCAATGGGTACTGACCAAAACCGCTTTATGGGCGGGGACGGGAACTGGGGGCAAATCCTTGGGTCCATCAGAGGCAAGCAAAACAACGTCAGTATAGGGGAGACCCGGCACAGCGGTGCTCCGGTGGTTGTGATCAAGAGGAGACCAAAAGCGGAGGAAAGTGACTTTGGCCTTGAGATCTTCGATCTCTTGCTTGAGCGCCTCCTCGGTTTCGCTGGCCTCCTCGTAGCACACCTTGCACGTTCCGGCAACATACGCGTTGTAATCCTCCCGGCACGATAAGCACTTCATATCGGGCTCGATCTTACCCTCTTTCAATGACTCCGGTGCGTAACCGATCTGCTCCGACTGACTGACTGACTGACACCGGTCCGTTTAGCACTTTCTCATTTCTTCTTGTTCACAAAAAATGCACTTTCTCATTTCTTGTCAGTGAAGTTGTCGTTAATTTAAAATGGGAAAAAAAATCATTTTCTGATAGGCTGAAGCTGATCTGGACCAGTTTGACCGATTTCTGTAACCCTTGAGGAAACCGCCACCTGTTAGTTTCTCACCTCCGGCGACCGGGACTGTTTAAAAAAACAGCAGACGCGCAGAGACTCCCGTCTTCCGAATTTAAAACAGAAGGATAGTAACAGTTCTGAGGAACTCAACCAAGATTTTTAGTGTTTACGGCTCAGTAAGCTTCTTCCATTTCCGTTTCCTAATCTGATATTTTTCTTGAGAATTTGTTTCTGTAATGCTCTGTTTGGTTGCCTAGATGAGAATTTGTTTCTGTAATGCTCTGTTTGGTTGCCTAGAAAATGTGGGGAAAGTGACAAAAACGAAAAGATGCTGTGTTTTTTGAGTCTTGCTCTTGAATTATTATATTTTTACGGTTCTTGGTTGTCTGAGGAGCCAGAGCAACAGGAGAGCTTTGTTTTCAGAGTTGAATTTCCTTTTCGTTTTTTGCATAACCTCTGTTCTCAATTCCGGTTTTCACTACTAATATGTTCATGTTTTGGTTGATATTTGAAGTTATGTGAAAATGTATTGAATCTTTTGGAATGTGGCATCTTAGTCAAACCTTAACTCTGATTTGAGTTGCTTGAAAAATTAGGTTTCATTTTTGTGCATTGTGGGGATGGGTGTTGATGAGGAGACTAGCAGTGGTGGAGGTGTGGAGTGTTGTGAGCAAGGATCACACTGCAAAAGGGGGGCAGTGAATGATGGTATCGGCATTGACATTGTACATGATTTTGGTGATCGGAGCTCCGGAGGCCAGTGAGGGTTTTCTTGCTTATAAGAGGCGGAGGCAACTGAGGTCTAATGCAGAGAGCGAAGTTCAAGTGGATGGGAGTGCTTCTGTGGGTGCTGCTTGTCGTTCAACAGAGCAGGTCTATCTCAGTCTTTGCATTTAAGTATGATGGACGCTGATTTGGACTGCTTTCTTTCTAATGGTAGTTAGTGGTGAGAATCTTTTGTGACTTTTGTCCAGTTGAACGGCTGATGTTGGTACTTCTCTCTTCTTACCGTGAAAGTAGTGTTATTTTGCTGATGTGTTTCTGAAATTTGTTCTTCTTTTTCCCTACGACATTTGGTTTCTTGTAGTCCATGGGATTATTGGACAAGCTTATAAACAATTAACCATGCAAACAAGTCCTTCTTTCGGGGACAGAACCTTGTGATTCACAGAGTTTCCAATTATCATCTACAGAGACAACAGAGAAATGCTGCATTAGAGCACCTATGTCGGTCAGTAAGTGATGAAACGCACTTGCATTTCATCTCTCAGAACCCTATTTTTCCAAGATGGTTAAGGCTAGTTCTATTTCTATTACCCAAAGTATATTCAGTTTTGATTTCTTATTTTCATTGAAAGGAAATTAGCACTCGTTATCAGGTTGATTTCTTGTTTTTTAATGCTATAAATGGACACTTCTTCTGTTTTGGGTTGCTTAAAAAACGGAACTCTTCCAACGAATAACAGTCTGGTTTTCCACTTAAGGATGCTGTTAATGGAACTATGTTGGCGTAATGCTATGGATCATCACAATGGCAAAGCTGGTACGGCTATGATTTCCAGGGATAGCACTGGGAAG